GGGGAAAAAAACCCAAAAATGAAAAACACTGGAATACCTAGGAAGAGGCCAATAAGAGAGAAAAGGTAGAGAAGGAGAATAATGAAGAAAAAAAAAATGGGAAAAACACAAAAAGAAAAACAAGGAACCAGGTTAAGGAAAAACAAAAAAAATTGGAACCAGGAACAGGGAAAAGAGAAAAAGCTGAAAACTAGAACCTGGGAAGGGAAGAATAAGGAATAATAATAAAAAGGACAAAGATAATAATAATTACAGTAGTTTTCAACAGACAAAAACAAACAAACTAAAAAGAAAAAAACAAAATTGGGCATAGTGCAGCTGGGCACCCAGGCTCTGTCCAAGCACACAGACTGCGATGGAATTCCTTCCACTATACAAGGTGGGTGGGAATGAGGGCTGGCCACACCTCTGTTCCCTAAGAGAGTGTAGGGTATCAGAATAACAAGGGGAATGTCTCATCTTTCCAGTCATTGGTGTCTGGAATGTCCTTGTGGTTCAAGTGGAGCCTGTTCTTAAGTCCCTGGAATCTGGGAGAATGCTGTCACTTTAAATATCCAACATGGTCAAACCACTTGTAGACATTAAAAATGGGTGTGCCCTCCGGATAGGCAAAAGTTCACAGCTCAGGCCCCCTTCCTCTTCCCTGATTCCCCTTTTATTCACCAGCCACCAGAGCAGTCCTCCATGCAGTCCCTGGCTAGCAGGGCTGATTTTTAGGTTAATTCTTAGGTCCTAACACCACTAGGTTATCCAAGCTGTCTGTGCCAGACCACAGCTCTGTATTTCTCCCTTTTTTAGTGTTTTCATGCAAATTCTTCTGCTAGTTGGATTTTTAGTCCACTTCTATATCCTTCCTTTCAAAGGCCAGGGGTCCAGGATTATCTTCTGTATCTGTGTTATTTGGTTCCCCTTTTCTTTGTTGAAGAGGGTCTGTCTAGTCTTTTGGCCTATTCCACCATCTTACTGGAATTCCTCATGTGGACTTGTTTTAATTGTCTTCAACTTCAAGTTGAACTTGCATATGAGCAGTTGATGGTTTGTTCCACAATCAGCTCCTAGCCTTGTTTTGGCTGAAGATATTGAGCTTTTCTATCACCTCTTGCCACAGACATAGTTAATCTGACTCCTGTGTACTCCATCTAGTGAAGTCCATGTGTACAGCTGCCATTTGTGTTGTTGATAAAAGGTATTTGCAATGAATAAGTCATTGGTCTTGCAAAATTCTATCATGCAATCTCCAGAATTATTTCTGTCACCAAGGCTAAATTTTCCAACTACCAGTGATTCTTCTTTGTTCCAACTTTTGCATTCCAGTCACCAGTGATAATTAACACATCTTGATTGCATGTTTTGTCAATTTCAGACTGCAGAAGTTAATAAAAATCTTCAGTTTCCTCATCTTTGTCTTTGGTAGCTGGTGCATAAATTTGAATAATAGTAGTATTAACTGGCCTTTCTTGTAGGCATATGGATATTATTCTATCACTAACAGCATTGTACTTCAGGACAGATCTGGAAACATCTTTTGTGATGATGAATGCCACGCCATTCCTCTTCAAATTGTCATTCCTGGCATAGTAGATCATATGGTTATCTGATTCAAAATGGCCAAAACCAGTTCATTTCAGCTCACTAACACCTAGGATATCAATCTTTATGTGTTTCATTTTATTTTTGATAACTTCCAATTTTCCTAGATTCAAACTTTGTACATCCCATGTTCCTATTATTAATGGATGTTTGCAGCTGTTTCTCCTCAACTGAATCATGCCATGTTAGCAAATGGAGGTCCTGAAAGCTGTACTTTATCCATGTCAATGAGTTGATGATGCAGCTCTTTCCTACTCATATTTTGAAAGCTTTCTGACCTAAGGGTTTCATTCTCCTGCACTGTATCGGATAATGTTTCCAGGCTATTCATAAAGTTGTGCAGTAATGCATCAGACAGTGTTTCTCCGCTATTCATAAGGTTTTCCCTGGCCAATTCTTTGAGAGGTGGATGGCCTCTTCCTTCTTCTTAGTCTGTCTCTGTAAGCTGCATTGAAACCTGTGCACCATGTGCAATCCTGCCAGCACTCAAGACACCAGTGGCACAGCCTCAAGCCTCATAGCAATATGCAAGCCACAATAGTACAAAAAACTGACAGGCAAGTTTGTCTTGCTTAGCTGTTCAAAACCTCTCCACCCTCCCCTTACCTGTATCCCTGGCACTACTCTGCTCTGTTGTGCCCTCTGGCTTCTCTTTTCCCTGCTTTCCTGGCTGGTGGGGGTGGGGCTTGGGTTCCTCCCCTTACCTGGCTGCCTGGCTGCTGCTCTGCCTGTCTGTCCCCTCTGGCTTTTATTTCCCATTTTCCTAACTGGTGGGGGTGGGGCCTGGGTTCCTCCCCTTACCTGGCTGCCTGGCTGCTGCTCTGCTCTGTTGTCTGCTTGGCTTCTCTTTCCCCCACTTTCTTGGCTCATAGGGGTTGGGCCCACGTCCCTTCCCTTTCTTGTATCCCTGGCTGCTGCTCATTATATAAGTCTATTGAAAATATCATGGTCTGGGTCAGGTGCACTTTAGTCTTCAAAGTGACATCTTTGCTCCTTAACACTTTAAAGAGGTCCCTTGCAGGAGATTTGCCCACTGCAATACCTTGTCTGATTTCTTGACTGCTGCTTCTGTGAACATTGATTGTGGATACAAGTGAAATGAAATCCCTGAGAACTTTAATCTTTTGTCCATTTACCGTGATGTTGCTAAACAGATAATTAGGTTATCATGTAAAGATCAATATTATAAAACCAACTTAGCACACAAAGGCTAAACTTGAGTAAAGGAAGTTACTTTTTGCTAGAAACCTCATGTATAAGTTAAGGGAAATAAGATGCTCATCTCAAACTAACAAAACACAGAATTTTGGAGTCAACATTTTTTAAAATTTAAGAATTGGGGAAGACAGTAGGTGCTGGGCAAACAGAACATGACCAAGAAGCCTGGTTTTAATTCTAGGACTTCTGTCGACTCTTGTGGAAACTTGGACAATGCACTTTGCTACCCTGGGACTCAGTTCCCTTATTTGTAATGTGCAGGGGCAGTTATTTAAGGTTTTTCCACTGTTGGCATTTTAAATTCTAATTAGCTGTGGGATTGACATGTAGATGAAATCGTCAACACATTCTGCACAACCTCACAGAGGAGAGCTAGCACCATCAGTAGCAAGGACAAGAAATCACATTTGCATTAATCCATTTGTTCAGCAAATATTTATAGTGCTCTTAGTATATAGTAAGGAGCTCTGGTGGTGCAGTGGTTAAAGCATTTGGCTGCTAACCAAAAGGTGGGTGGTTCGAATCCACCAGCTGCTCCATGGAAGAAAGATGAAGCAGTCTGCTTCTGTAAAGATTTACAGCCTGGGAAACCCTATGGGCAGTTCTACTCTGTCCTATGGGTCACTATGAATTAGAATCAACCTGATGGCAGTGGGTTAGTGGTGGGTAGTAGACACTGAGCATCATGCTGGGTTCTAAGAAAACAATGCATGCAGAAACAAGCATGGCTACTACCTTCATGCAGCTTAAACATTTCAACCCAATATGGGAAAATTCTAAAAATTTGAGTTGCTGTATGGAATGGGGAGTTCCCATCAAAGGTACTGGCTTATCTAAGGTGGACGACCACTTGGTAGGAAGGTTTGAAAGGGGATTCCAGCATCAGATTGGGGTATAGACTAAATTAAGTGCCTTTTAGGCTTGGGATTCTAAGGTAAGAGAGCACAAACAAACTTTGGGCCTAGGGTTGCCAGATTTAGCAAATGAAAATTCTGAACACCCTGTTAAATTTGAATTTCAGATAAACAATGAACAATTTTTCAGTATCAGTATATCCCAAATATTGCATTGGATATACTTATATTAAAAATTGTTTATCTGAAATTCAAATTTAAGTTGATGTCGTATATTTTATCTGGCAATCCTGCTTTGTATCATTTGAAAGCTGTTGACTTGCTTTCCTTTCCCTTCAGTCTCTGGATTGTCACTGTAAGGCCTCCCAAACCAAAGACAAAGCAGTAAGGCCAAGCTCCTTTTCACATCTACCACCAAGGACCGCCTGAATCTCTCCTCTCACCTCCAAGATAGCAACTTCCTGTCGGTTGCGCAGGATCCTGAAGGCAAATGGATGTCTGGGCCCAAATCCTGGGGCCACCTCACAACCATGGAGGGAGATGGCATTCACGTGGGTCCTCAGGTCTGCACGGTCCTTGTGGAAATACAGAGTGTTGCACTTCAGACGGCACCAGCGTTCCTTCCAGCCCTGATTGATCAGCACGTTCAGATAGCCTGTGAGGGAGACCAGTGGCATGACCTCCTGAGAACTCAGCTCTGGGGAAACTCAGGTGTCGTGGGTGCAAGCTGGTGCATAGGTCTACACCTCTGGGACAGAGGGCCTAGGATAACTCTGTGTCTTAGCTAGCACAAAGGCCTTCTGGGTCCCACATCCACTCACCCCCACCTGCCTATGACGTCAGGTGTCCTTTTTGAGTTTCAGTTTTCTATCTGTGAATTGGAGTCCCTGGATTGTACAAAGAGTTAACATGCTTGGCTGCTAACCAAAAGGTTAGTGGCTCAAGTCTACCCAGAGGTACCTTGAAAGAAAGGCCTGGCAATCTATTCTGGAAAATCAGCTGCTGAAAACCTTATGAAGCATGTGGCTACCATGAGGCGGAGCTGATTTGAGGGCAACTGGTTGTGTACTGGGACTGATAATCATACTGTACATCACTGCACAGCCTTTGGACCTTTTCAAGCTTGAGGAAAAGGGCAGAAATTACTACATTTGATGCATAAAAGACATAGCTCCCCCTTTTGCTTTTCCTCTTTCCACCCCCTAAAAAAAAAAAAAAAAAAAAAATCAAAAGACAGAAAATAATGGATGAAGCTGCCACCTAGTGGAAGTGTGCCTGTACAAAAAGATCCTGCAAGATGAATTCTAAAGATATTATTTTTCCCCCTTACGTGTTCGAAGTACTATCCACTAACTATAAAATGTTTCTTCTCAGCCATGTGCTTTCACAGTATTTTCTCAGAATAAGTGGAATATTACTGTGGACCCAAAAATATATATATTCTACTGGATTTTGGTATCTGGAAAATTATATTTACATGAATAAAATAGTATGTCTCCTCCTGTAAGACACTTTTAACTCACACTTAATAGCTTTAGAGTATTAAGTACTCAGATGATTTAATCTAAATAATTTCCTTTTAAGACAAGGTTGCAACTTATACATGTGGCAAATTATATGGTGGAAACTATGATACTCTTCTCTTGTCATAGTGGAGGAAACCAAAACCAAGACCCAGAGATGGGTAGTGTTTTGCACTAAAGTCCACAAGGAGCAGAGAAAAATGGGTTCAGTTGACACATCCTTCTTCTGAGAGTCAAGCTCTCGTGGGAATGAGTGATAGGAGAGCAAGAAGAGTGGATGGGGTGGGGTTTAGCAATCCAATAGGCTGGAGTCCTTTCCCCTGTCCCTGAGCATGACATGGACAAGGCAGGGGGGTCTCCTGGCTTCACCCCAGGAGCTGTATTGACAGAGCCTGGAATTCCCCTCATCCCCACACCTCATACCCACCACAGCATGGAACCTCCTCCTCGGTGGAGGACGTCTGCAGGTCATCAACTAGCGGCTTTTTCTTGGAGAAGCTGATGATGCGGGTGATCTTACGGCCTGCAGCCCTGCTCACTGAACCCTTCAGCTCAGCCAGGCTGCTCTTCTTCCCTTTGCCTGTTGCCATGAAGATGGGTCAAGGGAGAGGAGGGAGCATCAAGCTCCAGTTGTACCCCCTGCCCCACCCCCAGCCTTCCTGGTGGCCCTTTCACCCTATATAAGGTTGTCCTGCAGTTCCAGGTACGGATGGGCTAGATAACTTTGTCCAGGTCTGCAGAGGGGTCAGGATCTACTCTGCCACTGTGAGCCCCTGCCAGCTCTAGGCCCTCAGAGGCTCCTACCATGGTCACAGGCCTCTCGGCGGCCAAGGGTGGAACAGTTGTCGCCCAGGCCCAGGCTGTCAGAGTCTGAGGTCTGCTTCTCTTGGGACAGCCTCTGTGGAAGGACACAGATAGCCCTACATCAGACAGCATACTCAGAAGCACTGAACACCCCTTTGTCAGTTCAAACCCACCCCATGATAATTAATTAACAAATATTTGTCAGCAACTGTCATGTGCCTAAGACAGTACCAGGTATTGAGAAGACAAGGATGACTTAGACATAGTGTGTCTTCATGGTCTATTTGGGTAGTGAAGTAATTAATTGTAACACATTGAGACAAATGTTCTTGGACTTTGGACAATATTTGATAGATGACAGGGAGCTGGGAAGGGAAGTTTCCTCCAGTGACATCATGAAGGATGGGCAAGAAGAGGCAAGACTGCAAGCAAAAGAGTCACTTAAGAGAGTGTCATCCTGGTCAAGATGAGACTTGATATAGGGACAAAGGGGAAAAGGAGTAAAGTTGGTAGACATTTTCAACATAGTAATGATGGATTTGATGACCAATAAAAGTGAGTAGTGATGAGAGAGGAGTCTATGATCCTAGTTTGGATAAGAGTATGGTCAATAACCGGCTCCCATGTGAATGACTTCAATGTCAGCCAACATTATTTTCTCTAATTATGCTGACTCTGAACCAATCATTCATTCATTCACTATTAATTAAGTGCCTACTAGTTACTGTGGAAAGGGGCTCTGATGATGTAATGGTTAAGGAATTTGGCTGCTAACCAAAAGATCAGCAGTTCAAACCTATCAGTTGCTCCAGGAAGAAAGATGAGGCAGTTTGCTTCTGTAAAGATTTACAGCCTTGAAAAGTCAATAGGAGTCACTATGAGTTGGAATTGATTTGATGGCAGTGAGTTTGAATTTTGATTTTAAGGTACCATGAGGGGAGTCATTGGCCATGAGCATTCATTCATTCATTCATGCATGCATTCACTAACTCAGTAGACATTTATTAAGCACCTATGATGGACTCTGCTCTCAGTTACGGCTCTCACTGCCTGTTCCACAATCACTGGTGGCTGCCTGACTTCACCACATGACGTTGGGCTCCTTTGGGGCACAACCTGTGCCGGGTTCCCTTTGCCTGGCCTAGTGGAGACAGATGTACCTTGTCTGGGTCCAGCTTGCACAAGAGGATTGGGGACCTGGGGACCACTGCATTCTCAGCTGCTCCAAAGGGCTTGCTCACCTCTCGAATGACCTGTGGAGAGAGCACACACAGCTATGGACAGGTGGACAGGACAGCTGTGGAGGCAGAGAAGGAGAATGGGGCTGTTTGGTCAGGGCCATCATGTAGGAGGGGTCAGGACACCAGGGAGAAGAGGAGGCTGGACATGGCTACCTGCCACATGCCTGGGGCATACCAGGGTATGCCCCTGATTGAACAAGACATGTGACTGGGAAGCAAGAGGCCTGGTTTTAAGATCCAGCTATACTGCTAATTAGTTGTGTGGACTTGGGAAAGCCACTTCTGTGCTCTGAGCCTCAGTTTCCACATGTGTAACATGGCCATACTACCAGTCCTCTGTTTATCTTCTGGTGTTATCTGAGGACCAGTGAGACCATGGACATGTGAGGAACTGTGGCCCATAAAGCCTGCACATGGGTGACGGAATCACCTCTGCTGCCTTGTTACATCTTTACAACAACTCTGCGTGGTGGCTAGGGCTGCTTCTTCCATTTCAGTGATGTGACAACTGAGATCCAAAGGTGTTACTCACTCACCCAAGGCCATACAGTGATAAGCATCCAGATCATAAAACAATAACAGCCACCATTTATTACTCATGACATAGCTTTAAATAGATTTTCCCATTTCATCTCCACAGCAGCCTTGTAGGGTAGGGATAACTGTTACCCCAAATCACAAATAATGATGATGAGGCAGAGAAGTGAAGCCACCTGTTAGTGGCAGCAAAGTCTGAAATCAAATGCAGACAGAGTAGCTGCCTGCTCTTAACCTCTGGGCCAGTGGGCTTCCAAATGGGTATGTGAAGGTCTCTAACTCAGGTCCAGGGTGCCTTTTCCTGGCCCATTGGTCCTGTGAGGGCAGAGGCTCCCCCGGCAAGCAGGTTTTCTCCTCTCTTCCTTTTCTGAGGCAAAGGCAGTAATGAAAAACACTAACCACTCTGGGGTGGCGGGGAGGCTGGTTATCACAGGAAGGAAGGGAGGAAGAAGAGGGTTTGGTTTATGGTTCCAGCAGGAAGACTGGAGGAGGAGAAAGAATGATATCAGAGAGAAAATGAGGCTGAGTGCTCTGCTCAGGGGAGAGGCTCTTCTGTGAGGGACTACGGTGGGAGGGCAGCATCACCCTCGTCCTAACAGTAATCACTGGCAATCATGAAACACTCACTGCCTGGCAGGCACTATACTAAATGTTCTTCATAATCCTTATAAGATCCATTTTACAGATGAGCAAAGTGAGGCACAGGGAAGCTAAGATCATACCATCAGTGACATTTAAGCCTGAACTCAATTCTATGCACCACCAGGTCCTCCCTCATCATTGCTATGCCACTCTGCCTTCACAGTTCTGAGAGCCACATGGCTGGGGAGCAGGGTGGCGATACAGTTTATGGTCTTTGAGTGTAGGCTTATGTTCGTTTCTAACACTGACTCCAACCACTTTGTTATGAACATTTGGCAAACCACCTAAGTTCTCAATGCCTCAGTCTCCTTATCTGTAAAATGGGGAAAATCACAGTCCCAGTCCAAAGAGTAAATGAGGTCGTGCATGGAAAGCTTTTAGTACAGTACATGGCACACAGTAAGTGCTCAATACGTGATAACTCCAATTGTTGTAGGTAGCTCATCGCTGCAGATATTGTCCCACAAGAGGAAGTTACAAGGATGCACATTTTTTCTTTCCTTTCTTTTTAAGAATTAGACTATGCAATGATGGAATCAGTTTTTGTCATAGACAGTAAGTTGTAAAGGCCACAAGAGGGTATTAGGAAGGTGATTCAAATAACTGGAAAGAACATAAGGTCTCCAGGATGAGGTCTGCCTCTGGGAGCTAGCCAGGGCTTATCTGATTTCACATGTAAGCCCTAGCCATGTCCAAGGACTTGGGGTCAGGCCACTGACCCTCTCTCCCCTGAGCTAGGTCTGGTTCTTCTGGGGACAGGAGGCAGTGTGACAGAGGGCTAGGCCTGGGGAGGACAGGGAGCAAGGAGGGCAGGAAGGTGAGATGGCCCCACATACCTTTAGCCACTCTTCAGCCTGTTCCCGGCTCTGCAGTGCCAGAACCAGGGCCTCAGCAGCCCCCTGGGAGAAGCGCAGCTCATGCCTCTTGTGCCGGCTGTCCTTGGGCACGTAGATGACATTGCAGGTATCCAGGGCCAGCCTCAGATATGGCTGTCGGTCCTTGGAGCTTTTGTAACACTGGAAAGGGAGAGAAGGAGTCAGAGCCCCCTGAAGGGGAAGGCAGGGAAAGCAGAGGAGGGAGATACCCTTACACAAAGGTTCCCAGGAAGCTCCACCTACCCCACCCAACCCAGCCATGGGTACTGCATGAGGAACAGTGAAAGAGCTGGGGCTGTTCACCCCAGAGAAGAGAAGCCTGGGAGGAGCATCAGGGTCCTCTTCAGATCTGAAGGTATGGAGGGACTTTAGAGGGCACAATTACCTAATTTGGAAGAGGTAGATATTAGCACAATACTGGAAGACCATTCCAGCCCAAAGAACCACAAAAGAAACAAGCTGGCTTTGGAAGAAATGAGCTCCATGCTTTTAAAAGGCTACATGGCGGGGACATGGGAGAGAGAATCTTAGCAGTGATGGAAGGTTACACTTGGGAAGTCAATAATTTTTCAATAATGATTCTTATACCCTAATTTTATTATCAGGCCAGCATTGCCTTGATACCAAAATCTGACAATGGTATTATTAGAAAAGAAAATTATAAGCTCATCTTTCTCATAACATAGTTGCAGAAGCTCATAACATAGATGCAATAAACAAAATATTGGCAAGTAGAATTTAGACATATATAAAAAACATACTACATCAAGACCAAACCACTTGTTGTTGCATCAACTCTGACTCATGGTGATCCCATGGGTGTCAGAGCAGAGCTATGACTCATAGAGTTTTCAATGGCTAGCTTTTACGAAGTAGATTGTCAGACCTTTCTTCTGAGGCAGCTCTGGTAGACTCGAACCTCCAGCCTTTCAGTCAGCAGCTGAACACATTAACCATTTCCAAGGCCAAACAGGGTTATCACAGGAATGCAAGAATGATTCAACATTAAAAAAAATCAACCCTATAAGTCACCACATTGACAGAATAAAGGAGATATTCATCTCCTTTAAATCAGATCTCCATCTCAACAGAGATAGAAATGTATTTGATAAAATTCAAGATACTTTTTGACATGAACACTTAGCGGATGAGAAATAGAGGGGGATATCTTCAATATGATAATAGAGTATCTCTACAAACCACCCATAAGAAACATAGTCCTAATGGTGAATTACAGAAACGTGGAAATTGTTCCCTCCAGGATCTAGACAGAGAGGAGGATGGTCACTCTTACTTCTTCTAGTCTACATTGTGCTGACTGTGATAACCACTGTAATATGTCAAGGAAAAAAAAAAAAGAAGACATAAGGAGTGGAAAGAAGTAATCATGACCCTTGAGTTAGTGCTGGCCTGTAATGAGCTTTTCATTGCTCAGGGGTGAGAAAGGTCCTGTTTCATATGTATATATGATGTTGGGCAAGGCTCTTCAACAGTTTTTTTTTTTTTTTTTTGCGAGGGGGAGCACTGCTATTTTTCTTTTTCTGAAATTATGTCCATTATCCTGCTTTGGAATTCAATATGCATTATCTTTTAGGAAATAAAAGTGATAAGAGATGGTAGATTAAGCAAAAAAACTTTGAAAAGAGCAGTGCTGTACAGATTTAGCTTTAAAAATGATAAAACCAAAACCAAACCCACTGCCATCGAGTCAATTCCAACTCATAGCAACCCCCATTGGGTTTCCAAGGCAGTAAATATTTATGGAAGTAGAATGCCTCATCTTCCTTCCTTGGAGCATCTGGTGGGTTTGAACTGCCAACCTTCTGGTTAGCAGTCAAATGCCTTAGGCATTGTACCACCAGAGCTCCTTTTATAAATGATGCTGTTGTTGTTGCTGTTGTTATGTGCCGTCGAGTTGGACCCGACTCATAGCGACCCTTCCTTGGGTTTCCGAGGCAGTATTACTACAGAAGTAGATTGCCTTATCTTCCTTTTGAGGAGTGGCTGGTGGGTTTGAACCGCCAGCATAAATGATAGATGTATGGAAATGAGGGTAGACATATGTCATTTCTTGGCCAATGGTATTATGAATTACTTTTATCATTTTTCATTAGTTTTATAAATAAGCACATTCACTTGTATAATGAAAAGCAGTAAAACTTGTTTTGAAGTGTTAAAAAAAAATCTCCTTTGGCAAAACAAAAACCTGGTGTGGTAGTTTAGTTTGTGTGTCAACTTGGCTAGGCCTGTTGAGTGCCTGGGCAGCTGGTGGTAGTTATTTCCCATGAAGAGACTGGCAATCAACTCCATGGTGGGATCTACCACAAGCATCTGAGTAGCTGCTTTGGGTATGTGGACCGATTCCTGTATGTAAGGAGAAGCCTTGGGAATGGTCTCTAGCATATGGCATGCTTGGACCCTGCATGTAGCCGTGTCATTGTTCAGCAGCCTGCCATGCTCTGCCAATCTTGGGACTTACAATGAACTTGAATTAATGGTTGGCCACGTAGTTTGGTAACATCGGGACCATGTCTTTTTATTTGTCAACCTTGGGCTTCTCAGCCTCAGCAGTCAGGAGCTGTCTGAGTGAAGAAATACCTCTAGCTCCAGTGGGCCGGGACCAGGAAGCAGAGCTGGACCCTAAGGTTGAGGGGCTCTCACCCAGCCTCTAGAGCCTGGCACTTTGAACTTGGACTCCAAACTGTAAGAGAATAAACTCCTGTTCATTAAGGCCATCCCTTTCTTGTATATTCTTATCAGAGCGGCACTAGGTAACTGGAACACCTGGTAAAGCCTATGTCAGGCCTTCAAGTCTTTTTTGGTATTTGTCGAGAGAGAGAGAGAGAGAGAGAGAGAGAGCAGTTTTCAGAGGCACTGGGCTTTGTACCTCTGTGCAAAATGTAGGCCCAGGTGTACCTACCAAGTGCTGACACTGTATACACATGTGAGCAGAGACAAACACATGTATAAGCCCCAGGAAAGCTGACAAGCACCCATCTACCCCACCACTCACCAGAAGCTGGTCCTCCCTGATGACAGTCAGCTGCTTGGCCCACTGCCCAAAGCGCTTTTTCCGCAGCAGGAAGGCGCATATCCTGCAGTCTCTCACCAGGTGCATGGAGGCCTCCTCTGAGGGCCACTGGTGTGTGGGCTGCTGCCCCTTCCCTTCCTCCTCCTCCTCATCATAGGACTCGTAGGAGCTGCTCATGGCGTCAGAGTCATTGTCTGGAGGAGCTGTGGGACAGGACACATCACTTATGCCATCTCCAGGGAACTTCTTACTCCTCTGCAGACATCCTTTCTCTGGGACCCAGAGATCATGAAAGTGTAACCATGATCATGAATAAACTCCCCACACTTGCCCTTTACTCTGTTTTATAAATTTACCAGTTGCTTCATGAACTTGGTGACTTCACATCTCTGAACTTCAGTTTCCTCATTAGTAAAATGGTCATAATAACTAATCGTACCCACTTCATAGGTTACTTGAAGATCAATGCATGGAGACTGTTTAGCAAATATCTGACACCCAGTAAGTGCTCAATAACTATCAGTTACTGTCATTATAATGATCACCCTTCATTTCCTATTCATTGTCTCAGATGACTGTCACAAAACCCAGAAAATCCCCATTTTACAGATAAGGAGTCTTGAGGCTCCAAAATAGCGAATGACTTCCCTAAGATAAGAGCCAGGGGAAGGATTGGATACTGAGTCCTGATCTCAGTCCAGTTTTCTTTCCCCTGGATCCTGGGGCCACTGTGAGCAAGGGCCTTTGTGGTGACCATGGTCTGGGTAAGGAGGGGAAGTGGGCACATGCATGGCAAGGGTCAGGCCAAGTCTTGCTCTTTGCAAGGACAGACCCTGCTGAAGCATTCAGTACTCACAGAAGTTCTTCAGCTCCCCATTCATCCTGGTTGCAGGGTAGCTGTTGTCTGCATCCTCGTAGTAACCATCTACTATTGAGTGGGCCGGGCTGCAGCTGTCTATGGGGTGGGTAGAAAGAGCCTACACTTGGGAAAAATGCAGGCAGACTCCAGGAGCCAGGGCTGGGGAAGACCCTGGGTATGCCACCCTTCGTCAGGGAAGAGAGTGGGAGCTCTCTGGCCAGGGTGTAGGGCCTCTTCTCTTGGCATCTCATCTGCTTTAGCTCCCCATATGCCCACTGTGCCTCTGTCACCAGGAGCTGCCTCCAGACCCGTGTTCATGCTATTTCCTGTCCCTTTTATCCTCAACCAGAAAGCTCCTACTCATCCATCAAGACCCAGTTCAAAGACATTTCCTCTGATTTTCCCAGGCAGAGAGTGGTCAGTCCTTGCTCAGTTATCCCAGAGTATGGGGGTGGTCTTTGTCACAACTCTGATCTCTGTACTGTGGAGTGTGGTTTACCAGCTGCCTGGGCTCAGTCCTCCCTTCCTTCCTCCCTGCTCTACCTTTGCCTAATCTTCCAATTCAGTCATACTGCTCACTTCCTAATATATCTCTCCTTTTGTCAAAGAAAGGAGCCCTGGTGGTGCAGTGGTTAAGGGAGTGGTTGCTATCCAAAAGTTCAGCAGTTTGAATCTACCAGGTGCTCTGTGGGAGAAAGATACAGCAGTTGCTTCCATAAAGATTTACAGCTTTGGAATCCCTATAGGGTTGCTATGAGTCAGAATTGGCTTAGGCACTAAGCCACCAGAGCTCCTTTGATGGCAACAAGTTTGGTACTTTTGGTTTTTGTCGAAGAGGATCTCCTTTTAAACCCCTGGGACCACAAAGGAAGAATAGGACTAGAGGATATAACAATGATGTACATAAACAGAGACTACAACAGCTACTGACACTGAATTTTCACAACACATTCCTATCTGTGGCTGGTTAGTAGTATACTACAGCGATTAGTAGAGCAGCTCAAGCTTGGTTTCTGCATCAGGATTACCTGGGGGTCATTTTAAAATGCAGATTTCTGATCCACTAGGGTAGCTGGGCTGAGGAATTTGCATTAAAAAACCCAGAAAATTTCAAAACATATATTCAAATACAAAATATATTGAACTCCGAGAAATTGGATTTTTTTTTCTTTTAAACAAATAAGGTTATTCTGATGCAGGACATACTTTGAAGTTCAGTGGGTTAAGGGTATATGTTTTGGGGTCGATCAGATTTTAATTCAAATCCTCTGTCTATCGTTTACAGAGGAAAAAAGTTTTTTCCCTTTTCAGAGTCTACCTATAAAGTACAATGAATAGTTCCCACCTTGCTGTAAGTGCTATAAAGCATAGAAGCACTCAGCACAGTGGCTGACAGACAGATTGCATTAGACAAATGCCAGGTATCATTATTATTGTCTTCTTTGGTTTCTACAGTGCAAAGAGGTGGTTATCAGTCCATTTTACAGAAAAGGAAACCAAGGCCACACAGTTTGGTAAAGAGAGAGCCTGGGTCAGAACTGAGGGTGCCAACTTCCACTATGGGTTCTTCAGAGCGCTGCTCTGGGCTTCTAGTCTCTCCTATCCATCTGTTTCCTGAGGACGGCAGCACTGAAATTCCCAGCAACTAGGACACACAGTTCAATCACCCAAGTGAGGCTCAGAGCCTGCCTCTCCCAGCAAGCACACCGAGAGTGCAGAAGTTCAGGACATTCCCTATGAGGTAGATTGGGCATGTCTGAACCAGAGGAGGATGAGGTGGGATGGAGAAGAGGGAGGGGCTCTGGGAGCAAAGCATTTGGACACCTGGAAGGGCTGCACACTGTGTGTGAGAGGAAGGATACTCCCTGATGGGCTTGGCATTCTCCCTGGACAAGGCCCTTCCTGTGGCCCTCCCTTCCCTCCTGCCCCAGGAGCACAGCTGCGCTAGGGGTGGCTCCTCTGCCATCCTGTGAGGGGAGCAAGCTCTGGGGGCAGGTGGAGGAGCCTCATCCAGCCAAAGGGCTTGAACTAGGGATTTAGAGGCCCAGAACCACTTGTCCCCTGTCTTTGAATAAATAAAATAAAGTTGTCTGTTTCATACCCCCAATAACTCTTTGCAATGACATTGAATCCAAGACTATCAAGGCTCAAGAGGGCCTCAGATCACTCAGTCCAACCTCATCATTTAACTTTCTTTTAACTACTTTATTGATCATGCAAATAACATGCCATACATAGCAACAATCTCAAGTATCTACCAACAGATGAATCAATAAACAAAATATAGTATATCCACACAAAGGAATATTGTTTGGCCATAAACAAGAATGAAGAATTGATACATGCTACAACATGGATGAATCTTGGGAACATTACACTAAACGAAAGAAGCCAGACACAAAAGGCCACGTATTGCATGATTCCATTTACACAAAATGTTCCGACTAGGCAAATCTATAGAGACAGAAAATGGCTGCTTTGGTGGTTGTCAAGGGCTAGGGGTGGGGGGAATGGGTAATGACTGTTTCATAGGAACAAGTTTTCCTTTTGGGATGATGGAAATATTCAGGAACTAGATAGTGGTGAGGGTTGCACAACATTGTGATTGTAGTAAATGCCACTGCATTGTTCATTTCAAAAATGGCGAATTAAGTGTATTTTAAAACAATAAAAAATACATACCCACAGCAAAAAAATTAAAGCAGTACAGAAACCTATCAATGGAAAAATATGTCTTCTTCACTCAGATTTCCCACAGAAAAATTCTGTTAGTAGTTTCTTGAGTATCCCAAAAAAGTTGTTAAAACACATGTGTGTGTATATGTACATGTATACCAAATTTTAAAAACTATTATCATGTTATATGCCATATTTTGAACTTAATTTTTTTAAAATTAATATACCTTTCTTAATTCACTCCTGATTGGATAACATCACACAAAGATTATCTTTTTTTAAAAATTTTATTTTAAAATCTTGTTTCACATTCAACATTATGTGTACATTTAGTTTCATTCCCCATTTACCGTGTCCAACCCTAACCCAGTCTCCTTCCCTCCCTACTCTGTAACTCTCCCCCTGTGACCCTCATATTTATGGACTCCTGTTTGTCCTCAACCTGAATGTTGGTCCTCTGATGCCCCATGGGCCATTGCTCTAAGGGATGTATTACCATAGAATATGTGGGTGCATCATCCTCGGTTGAGCAGTCTGCATGTCCATCTTGTTAACTATTGGACTGAGCCAGCCCCTGGGGATGAGTTTTATTCCAGGCACAGAACGTATTCCAGGGCCATAGTGTTGGGGGTCTCACCAGACTCAAAGATTATCTTATACAAATTCAACTATACATGCTTGTTGTTGTTGTTGTTGTCAGGTACCATCAAGGTGGATCTGACTTATATTGACCCTATGTACAACAGAATGAAACACTGCCTGGTCCTGTGCGAGCCTCACAGTCCTTGCTATACCTGACCCCATCATTGCAGCCACTGTGTCAATCCATCTCATTGAGGGGCTTCCCCTTTTTTGCTGACCCTCCATTTTACCAAGCATGATCTCCTTCTCCAGGGGATGCTCCTTTCTGACAACATGACCAATGTAGGTGAGATGAAGTCATGCTTAGTCATCCCAAATCCATAGTACAGGTTTTTGTATGTAATGTTGGGTCCCTAAACCCAAGCCAGTGATTTCATCTTACGCTTAATCAAAAGAACAGCCGGTCCTGTTACAACAGTGGAGGAAGATGACTAAGGGACAAATCAAAGTCAAGGACTGTCCTTGATGGCATATTTAAGAGGTTTTCAAAGGTAACTTGTACTAATGCTTCCTAAACTATTTCATTTTTATATGACTAAAAATATAGCTGTAGATGTATATTTATATATAAATTATATATATAATTTGGGATCTCCGGTGGCACTTGGCTGCCAACCAAATGGTCAGTGGTTTGAACTCTCCAGCAGCTCTGCAGAAGGAAGACCTGGTGATCTGCTGCTGTAAAGATCACAACCTAGAAAATTCTATGGGGCAGTTCTACTATGTCAATGGGGTCACCATGAGTTGGAATCAACTGGAGAGCACCCAGCAACAACAACAAATATAAACTACTTATAAGTGCTATGCTATTATTAAATTATAAATCCTATAAAACATTTGCCAGGAGCTCTGGTAGCATAGTGCCTAAGGCACTTGACTGCTAACTGGAAGGCTGGCAGTTCAAACTCACCAGCTACTCCTTGGAAGGAAGGTTGGGCAATCTACTTCCGTAGTGATACGGCCTCCAAAACCCAAGGAGGGGTCGCTATGAGTCGGGTCCGACTCGACGGCACATAACAACAACAACAACATAAAACATTTGCCATTGAGTCAATCTGACTCCTAGCGACCCCTCCTTGGGTTTCCAAGGTGGTATCTCTATGGAAGTAGACTGCCCAATTTTCCTTCCAAGGAGAGGCTGGTGGGTTTGAACTAATGGTGGCATAGTGCCTAAGGCATTTGACTGCTAACCAGAAGGCTAGTGGTTCAAACCCACCAGCTACTCCTCGGAAGGAAGATTGGGCAATTTACTTCCCTAGTGATACCACCTCAGAAACCCAAGGAGGCGTCGCTATGAGTTGGATCTGACTCCATGGCAATGAGTTTGGTTTTATTTAATTTATTTTTTGTTTATAAAACATCTGCAGATAGAAATTTCAGAAAGATGTGTGGAAGTAAAAATAAATAAAGTTTCAACTATTCCTACCTAGATCATCTTATGAATCCTCTGGGCTGTCTGCATTCTACTTTGAAGACATCTGACTTAGATCATGTGCTTTTTTATCTTATGCAGTGACTTTATGATCTAACCTATTCATAAAATGTGATACTGCTGAACCACAGATTATTTATTCATTCTACTATGACACTTGCCTGCTAACCAGACGGCTGGCGGTTCAAACCCACCAGCCACTCCTCGGAAGGAAGGTTGGGCAATCCTACTTCCGTAGTGATACTGCCTCGGAAACCCAAGGAGGGGTCTCTATGAGTCGGGTCCGACTCGACGGCACATAACAACAACAACAACAACAACAACTATGGAAGGGCACTTGGTTAGTGACAGTTTTTAGTGTTGGAACAGTGTTGCAGTGGTCATCTCTGTTACCTACACCCCAGCACATTTCTCTGAGTATATCTTGCCCCTTTCTCTTTTTTTTTAAATGGTAAAGGAATAGAGGCCCAGTGAGGAAAAGAGAATTGACCATGATCACACAGAACTGGGACTAGAAGCCAAGCTCCTGACTCCCAGGGACACACTCACTGGCCAAGCCAGGCCATTACTACAGAGGTCAGGTGCTCAGGATGGCTCCTCCTCAGGAAATGGTGATGTGGCTGGGCAGGTACCAGCCTGGGAGCTCTAACAGAACACAGAGGAGCTCAGACTCAGCTTTTCAAGAGTGATGTTGTGACTGCCTCCTCCTCCTCCCCAAGCCTCTGAAGGGGCAGAACTTACTGTGGGAGCTGATGTACTCGGGGCACTTGCCAGGTCCCAGGGGAAGGGCCTCCTCATAGTAGTCCTCGGGTGGAGGCTTGTTGGGGAGTGGTGGAGGCAGGTCAGCTGCCTGGAGAACAGATGAGATGTGTGAGACCTAGAAGGCAAGGAGAGCAGAGCCGATGGAGAGAGGGATGGAAGGAGGCATGGAAGGGAGAGGCAGGAATTCCTAGAAACAGGATCTGGTTTGAATGTGAAGCCATAGTTGCTCACACAATCACAAGATGGATCTTGAGAGTTTATTTGGTCCTATGCTTCTTACTCCAATTTGTTTAGTATCAGGGCTCCTCCATATAGTAGTAGTTATACCCTTGACTGAGCACATACAGAATTATTGAAAGTTACCATGGGAAAAGCTTGGTGGTGTAGTGTATGAGGTATTTGGCTGCTAACTGTCTGGTCAGTGGTTCAAACCTACCAGCTGCTCCACAGAAGGAAGATGAAGCAGTCTACTTCTGTAAAGATTTACAGCCTTGGAAACCCAATAGGGGTCATGATGAGTTAGAATCGACTCTATGGAAGTGAGTTTTACTGCGGGAGAAAGATGTGATAATCGGCTGTGTAAAGATCTACAGCCTTGGAAACCTTATAGGGTGGTTCTATTCTGTCCTATAGGGTCCCTATGAGTCTGAATTGACTTGACAGCAGTGGGTTTAGTGGGACTGTGACGTGTGCAATACTTTTCAGTACATGTGTGTTCTATTAATCACAACAACATCTATATTCTTTTGAGGAACAATAGGACAAAAAAGTGTGAGACACATTATTTAGTGAGGCAGTATTGCCTCGTGGCTAAGAGCTTGGGCTGAGCTCTTACAACTGGGTTTACTAATTAACTCACTAGTTGTGGGACATGGAGTATGTCACTTATCTTCTCTTATTATCAGTTTCCTTATCTGTGGGGATAATGATAGTGTCAACCTCATGCAGTTTCTGTGAACAAGTAAAACGGTAAATGGTCAGCAATTGGTCATGACAGTGAATTATTTGGCCCATTGACAATGCTTGATAGATGATGGGCCTGTCTGAATTCCATCGTCCCAAGGTTGGGAACCCTAAGTCTGGTTGAATTTTCATGTCATAGGTAAAAATTTCAGGTTCAGAGAGTGGAAGTAATTTGCCCAAGGACATAGAAAAATTTAGGAGAGCAGAGGCCACATAAATCCTAGTATAGTGTTTTGTCATCATTGCACCTATATTACTATAATCAGAGGTTGGGGGTGGTGATGTCCTTTGGGTCTGAGGGGACAGATCAGTTCACATTATCCCTACTCAGCACAGGAAGAGTGAGCAAGTCACAGGCCATTAAAAAGTTCACGAGGTACTGTTTCTGCCCTTGAACTCCCAGCTGGAAGGGAAAACAGGTCCCTAGCACAGCCAGGAGTTTCCATAGTGCTAAGGGGAGTGCTTTTTTTCCTCCTTGTTATAGATGGAATTGACCCCTGCCCCCAAATGTGTTGGAATCTTAACCCCTATACCTGCGAATATAATCCTACTTAGAAACAGGGCTTTCTTTGTTATGCAAATTAAGTCATGCCATGTAGGGTGTGTCTTAAACTGAATCACTTCTGAGTTATAAATATAGTACATTAGACATAGAAACAAGCACACATTGGGGAGCACAGATGCCATGTGAGGATCCTCTACAAACCAGGAACCAAGGAGCTCCGGGCTACAAGAAGGAAGGAAACAACATATCCAAGACCCTGATTTGGACTTAATTTCCAGAACTGTGAGAAAATAAATTTCTGTCCTTTAAAGCCACCCACTTGTGGTATCGGGGGTAAAGCAGCACTAGGAAATTAAGACGCCCCTCCAGAGGGATGGAGAGCCCAAGGGCTTGGGGCCTCAGGCCAGCACTCACATTCTTCAGAGCTAGGGTCTTGGCTGGCTCAGGGCTGGCTCCTTTGCTGGGCTGGCCATCATCCTCTGGCACGTCTTGAAGGTCACTCAGGTCACAGTCTATGGAGTCTATGGAGGCAGATAAAACCTAGGATGAGCACATCAGAGCAGGAAGAGGGCTGGCTTTGGGGAAGGAGGCCTGCATGTGAGGTTGCGTCCACCACCTTCGCAATAAATAATCCTGAGCAGTGACATTTGCTCTGAGACTCCGTTTCCTCATCTGTGAACTGGTTGCCATAATCCCTGCCTTGCCCATTGCCCAGGGTTGTTGAGAAGATCAAATAAGATAAAATTTGTTGCACTGGTATAGAAATTTTCGAGGGTTATGCTATAGAAGCACACATCTCTCCATCCCTAAAGCTGTCTCACCCAGATCCAAAGCTTTCTTCCTGTGTTGAATAGTGCTGTCTCCCCTTGGGACAGAGACAGAAAAACCAGTGGCCATCGAGTTGATTCCAACTCATGGCGATCCCCATGTGTATCAGAGTAGATCAGTGGTCTAGAGGGTTTTTAATGGGTGGTTTTTCAGAAGCAGATCTTCCAAGGTGCCTCTGGGTAGACCTGAACCTCTAATCTTTTGGTTAGCACCTGAGTATGTTAACTGTTTGCACCACATGCATACCAGCAGGCCTGCTCCCAGGCAGCTGTCATGAGCCCCTGGAGCCCGGTGTTTTAGGCAGTCACTACCAAACGGATGGAAGTGGCAGGTGGCAAGGTAATACACTTATATGCCATACCTTCTTTGGCCAGACTTTCATGCCTGCTTCAAATCTCAGGGATAATTTCCTATAACCATGTGGATTTTGCCTAGTCTTTCAGAGCTGAAAGGCCCAGAGAGGAATGGACTTGCCCTAAGTCACTCAAGGAAGGAATAGTAAAGCCAGTCCAGAATGCTAGCATATTCCAGTCCAATCCAGGGACAGATAGGGGCAGAGAGGTGTCAGGGGTCAGGAGAAGCTAGCTTACCAAATTCTTCAAAGAGGGACTCCACAAAGCTGGGGCCCGAGTGGAGGTCGGCTGTGTTCACATACAGATAGGAGACTTCCTTTGCTGTGAGGAAGGAGAAGAACCCACCAGCTGTGAGGAGGGAAGAGACCCTCCTCACAGGGTAGCTCACCCATAGCTACAAATGCTGAGGAGGGGCTACATTCCCCAACTCCACCCAGACTTCTGTCCCACACAGCACATAGCATGCAGTGTGCAAAGCGTGCTCACATCCTAAGTTATTTCAATGGTTTTCAATTTTAAATTTTCACTGAGGGTCTCTTTCTTTAAATAAATGGATGTCCAAAAACCCAGTCCATAAAACAGATTATAAGAGGCTGCTCTGGAGAGCATAGCTGGAAAACCACTGCCCCTGTCATACTTCCAATAGCCCTATGAGGGCAGCCGGTGCCATCAACCTGCTTCATCAAGGGGAAGAGTGAGGCTCAGAGTCACCCAGTGGAGACTTCCCACCACACCCATGGGACTCCTCAAACAGGACACACGTACCGCTCATGTGAGTTTACTGAGATCCTTTGTTAATCTGACTGACTTGGGATTTAGATGAGAAGGCTTGCTGCTGAGAGACAGTGAAGGGCAGGGAAGATGTGGGAAAGCAGAGGGAGGGACATGCATAAAGACGTGGGGAAGTATACAAGAGTGTGTGGTGTGTGTGTGAGAGTATGTGGTGTATGTAGGAGTGTGTGATGTGTATGCATGTGTATGTGGTACATTGAGTTTGAGAGTGTGTTGTGTGTGTGAGTGTGCGATGTGTGTAGGGGTGTGTGATGTGTATGTGAGGCATGTTGCATATGACAGTATGTAGTGTGTGTGAGAGTGTGTGGTATGTGTAGGAAGGTATGTGATGTGTATGTGCATGTGTGTGGTACATTGAGTGTGAGAGTATGTTGTGAGTGTGTGTGATGTGTGTAGGAGAATGTTATGTGTATGTGTGTATGTGTATGGTACATATGAGTGTAATTATCTGTGAGAGTGGGTGATGTGTGTATAGAAGTATGTAATGTGTATATGGGGTATGTTGCATATGATAATATGTTCTGTGTGAGAGTATGTGGTGTGTGTGGGAGTGTGTGATGTGTAAGTTCACATGTGTGGTGCACTGAATGTGAGATCCATTGTATGAGAGTGTGTGATGTGTGTAAGAGTATGATGTGCACATGTGTGTGGTATGTTTGTGTGATCTGTGTAGGAGTGTGTAATGTATATGCACATATATATAGTGTGTTGAGTATATGTGCTGTGAGTATATGTGTTGTGCATGTGTGTGCTATATAAGAGTATGTGTTATGTGTGTGTACTATGTATACAAGATATATGTGAATGTGTGTTGTATGTGGCATATGTCATGTGTGGTGTGTATGTGACTATGTGGTATATGTGGTGGGCGTATGTGAATGTGTACAGTGTTGGGATGGAGCAGGACAAAGAGCCCAGCTAGGGTTCTGGTGGGGAAGTAGGGTCTAAGTGGATGAGGAAATTGGGGCAAGATAATGAAATGCATTGGATGTCCTGCTATGAAGCTTAGACTTTCTCCAGCAGGCAGGCCCTGGGGAGTTACTGAAGGTTCTTGAGAATGGCTTAGGGAGGCCTTGCTGTCTGTGTATGTGGAGCCCTGGGCAGAGTGCTGATGGCTGACCTGGGAGGGGCTGCAGGCTCTGCAGGATGGAAGCCACGGCCATCTTCTTCTCCAGGGTGGTGTCGCTGAGGTACTCATGGTCCAAGAGGCTGAGCAGCCCTGTGAGCTCCGGGAGCAGCTGCTCCAGCACTGGGAAGGAAAGCCAACACAGGATGGTCATGGCTCTGTGCCTTTGAGTTCTGGCCCCTTGCCCACCATAGAGGACAAGGCAGTAAGGACCAGAGGGCAGGGCCAGGCACAACAGGGAGGACTTGGAGGCCCTCACACAGCTGTCCCAGCACTAACAATGCAGCCTCCCTTGGGAGGGCCCTGCTCAGTTAATCCATGGCATCCCTCCAGACCTCCCTACTCTGCCTCAGACCTCATGTGGCCTTGGCTGGAGGATTGAACCACCCTGGGCTCACCCTGTCAACTGTGAGCCTGGACAGCCTCCAGAAAAGGCACTTGGTCTCCCTCTGTCTCAGCCTGCCCTCTGCTTTGTAGGCCTAGGAGTCCTGCCTCACTGCAGCTTGAGGCTCAGTGCAGGTCTTAGGCCAGAGCTCCTGGCTATCCAGGACACAGGCAGGAAGGGAGCTTTCCTGTCCCATCAGTTCATATGCTTCAATCTCTGGAACCTTCTGTTTCCGGTGCCTTGGCTGCAGCCAAACAAAACATTAACCCTTCCCACCCCAAAACTCTCATTGCCATTCATTATTTCTATACTATACCAGCACTTCTTGAACTTGAGGGTATATAGGAATTATCTAGGGTATCTTGTCAAGGTGAAGATTCTGATTCATGAAATCTGGGGTAGGATCTGAGATTCTGCATTTCCAACAAGCTCCCAGTTGATGCTGATGCTGCTGGTCTGGGACCACAATGAGTTTCAAATCCTAGAGGACATAATCCTTTAAAGACTGGAGAGTGCCAAGACCATGATGTCATTGATGCCTCCTGGTCCAGAATAGTAACTTGGGACTTGGTTTGCCTTAGAGCTGAAGACTAGCTTCATTTACAGTAGTAGTGTTGTCCTACGTTGTCATTCACTCATCACTCATGCACAATAATAAGAGTCTAAACTGTGTTGAAAATCATTATAAGTTGTGCTAAGTCCTTTCATACTTATTGCCTCATTTAAATCCCATATCAAACATTTAATTATCTCTACTTCACAGAGGATGAAACTAAGGCAGAGGGAGTCTGAATAACTTTACACAGCTATCAGAGCCTGGATGGAATCCAGTTTTTCTCACTCCATTCTTTTAATCATGGCACTATACTGCCTGATCCTATGAACAAGTTCGATGATCACCTCCCCTCTCCCCCATACAATGCACACACAGAGAGAGAAACACTCTTTTTAAACAAGGAAACTAAGGCTCAGAAATGTTGAGAACTTTTTCAACGTTATGCAGAAGGGAAAAGAGCCAGGATTTTGGCTCCAGATTCTTGACTCCCAACTCCAATGCTTCTCCTCACCCTGGACCCTGCTAGGGAACTGGGTTGATTCTGACTTATAGTTGTGAGAACTGGATGTGTAAGATGGGCTATAACATTGTGCATAAGAGAACTGGTCCTGCGCATGGAAACAATTAGTCCAAGGGACTGGTAGACCATGCGATACTCAGCCTATTTGACCATGAGACCAGAAGAACTAGATGGTGGCTGGCTACCACTGTCAACCACTCGGTTGGCAGGAGCCCCTGGATAGAGTGGGAGAACACTGTGAAACAAAACTCAAAATCATTAAAAAAAAATAAAAAAAGACCAGGTTTGCTGGTCTGATAGAGCTTGGTGAGATCCCTGAAACTATGGCCCCTTTAGGTCTGGAACTGAAATCACTCCTGTGGCTTCCAGCCAAACAATAGACAGGCATATGGGGTGAACATTAACATCAGGTAGATACACTCCTTGGAGTGATCAATCATGGGAGAACAGAAGGACAGTGGTTGCACAGGAAGATGGGGCTGGGCGGGAGTGCATGGGAGGAAAGGACACAGAGAAGAGGTAAATGAGAGGAGGAAGAGGGAAGAGAGCTGTTACCCTGTAGGGAATTGCAGTCAATGTCATGAAACAAAATGTGTATGAACTGCTGTATGGAAAATGAATTTGCTCTGTAAACTTTCACCCAAATCACAATAAAAATTGAAAAGAGAGAGAGAGAGAGAAAGAGAGAGAGAACTGGTCCTGGAGCCAGACAACCTCATGTCAAATTCAGGCTCCATCATTCATTAGTTGTGGCCATTTGGCAAGTTGTTGATTGTCTGGGACTTACTTTCCTCCTCTGCAAAGTGGGGGTAATGATATACCTACCTCATAGGGTTGCTGTGAGGATTAGTTACACCATGCAAAAAAGGTTCCCTTCCTAGCATATAGTAAATGTTCACTACAAGTCAACTACTGGGCTGTCATTGTAGTACTTACCACTGTGGTGATCTGTGTGGGTCTATCTCCCTCAGCAGGCTGTGAGGTTCTAGTAGTGTGGACTTCCTTAGAGTATACTTGCTCACTGTGGCTACTCTACATGCATTTGATGAGAGATGGAATGAACAGATGACCACACTAGGACTTTTTTAAAAAGGAAATCTTATGTATAGATAATATTGTTGGGAAAATGTGATATTGCAGTCTTTCTGTGGCATTCTACTATCACCCTGAACTGGTTGAAAATGAGCAAAGGGCTGATACTGATGACTACCACCTCATGCTACTACCCATCTGTTGGTTTGTCACACTGTGGTGGCTTGTGTGTTGCTATGATGCTGGAAGCTATGCCATCAACATTTCAAATACCAAAAGGGTCACCCATAGAGAACAGGTTTAAGAGGAGCTTCCAAACTAAGACTAGGAAGAAAGGCCTGGCAATCAACTTCTGAAAATCAGCCAATGGAACCTTGAGGACCACAACAGAATATTATCCAATATAGTGCCTCTGGGTTGGAAAGCACTCAAAATACACAGTGGTCACAACAATGGACACGAACATACCAATGATCATGAAAACAGCACAGGACAGGGCAGGGTTTCATTCTGTTGTTGACAGGGTCACTGTGACTTGGAGTTAACTCGAAGGCAACTAACAACAACTAACAACCACCTCATGAGCATCTCTACTGCCAGGCTCTGAGGAAGGGGCTTTCCATGTGATTTCTTCCTTAATCCCTACAGTGCATCTGTGAGTATGACCTATTTATAGGAGATATGGGATGGTCACTAAGGTAGATAGAGATGGAACCAGGTTTTATTCCAAGTCTGTGGGGTTCCTGGAGCTGCTGAATCACACAACTCCAGGGGGCAGTGCTCACATCACAGTCCAAGAGAATGGTGCCAGGAGGACCTGAGTGTGAACAGTTCCACAGAAGCAAGGGTTCTGGATGGTTTAGTTTTCCCTCTGAAGTAGGAAATCATTTTAGCCTAAAGTTAGCTGGCTTGAAGGAAATCTGTTCAAACGGAATCACAAACCTCCCTGGTATCCTCAACAGAGACACTAAATGTCAGTTAATTCAATCCAAAAGTATTTACTGACCACTAATTACGTGCTGGGCTGGCCACTGGGGCAGGATTAGGAAATGGATGAGATACTATCCCACTGGTTTTGCTTGTGGGCATTCCTATTTTCTGCCTCCTACAATTACTCACTTTCAAGTGCTGAAGAGCAAAGATGTCTCGAGGACTAAGGTGCGCCTGACACAATCCATGGTATTTTCAATCACCTCATAAGCATGTGAGAGCTGGACAATGAATAAGGAAGACCAAAGAAGAGTTGATGCTTTTGAGCTATGGTGGTGGTGAAGAATGAGGAAAGTACCGTGGACTGCTAAAAAAACTAACAGGTCTGTCCTGAAGGAAGTGCAGCCAGAATGCTCCTTGGAGGCGAGAATGGCCAGACTTCAACTCACATACTTTGGTCATGTTGTCAGAAGGGACCATTCCCTGGAGAAGGATGTCATGCTTGGTAAGGTGGAGGGTCGATGAAAGACGGGAAGGCCCTCAACAAGGTGGATTGACACGGCAGCGGTGGTGATGGGCTCAAGTGTAGCAAGAATCGTGGAGCTGGCTCAAGACCGGGTTGTGTTTTGTTCTGCTGTGCATAGGGTCGCTATGAGTTGGAAATGACTCAATGGCACTTAACAACAACAACAATTATTACAAGGGAGGATCGCAGGGTAGCACTGGAGTTTTCTTGTGGCTGGCAGCTACAATTCATACATGGAAATCCATGACACTGCTGTGTCATCACACAGGAGTATCAGGGCCAATGAGTGCATAGGGTTGTTTATCCGTGTATCAGTGATTCTGAAACATTTTGGTCTCAGGTCTCTTTACACTTCTGAAAATTATTGAGGACCCCAGAGAACTTTTGTCTCATGTGGGTTATATATTTACTGTATTAACAAAACTGAAAAAATTTTAGAACGTAAGAATACACAAGCACATACCCTATCAGCTCTCAGAGCTACCACACTATCATATGTCACTTCTGGAAAACTCCACTTTACACCTATGAGAGTGAAAATAGGCATATAACATCTTTTCTTTTTCTTTCCCACTTGCCATAGTGTTGACTCTGACTCATGGTGACCCTACTTGTTACTCCACAGTAGAACTGTGCTCCAGAGAGTTGTCAATGGGTGATTTTTCAGAAATAGACAACCAGGTCTTTCTTCTGTGGTAACACTGAGTGGAGTCAATTCTCTATCCTTTTGGTTAACAGCCAAACTACTAAGTTGCTTCATAGTTTAGACCCTGTATACACCCTGAAAGCATCTTGTGGACCTACAGGGGTCCCAAAACATACCTATAGAACTACTGTCCTGAAATGAATGACCCTAGTTTGCGAAACTTTTTAGATTTCTTAAGTCTGTTTCTTTTTCTCCCCCTCCCTCTTTGTTCTCCAAATCTCTTACCTTTAAAAAGCTTTTTTTTTTTTTTTTGTGAGGTTCCAATGTTTTATTTTGTCAGCAATTCCTTATGTGTGGCAGCTTTCCTGCTGCTAAGCACTATTTAAAAAAAAAATAACTAACCAAAAAACCCAAACACACGGCCATCAACTTGATTCTGACTCATAGTGACCCCCAATGGGTTTCTGAGGTGGTAAATCTATGTGGAAGTAGATTGCCTTGTCTTCCTTCCACAGAGTGGAT